ACAGTTATTTAAGAAAATATGAATAGTATCTATCAGATTTTTTTGTTGGAACCGTGGATGTGATAAGAGGATAATTTTGTCTATGAAGCTGAGAATAATGCCTTTTTTGTGGCAAAGAGGATGATTTGAATGGAAATTAAGGAACCTCCCCTTCTTTTTATGACAAATGTCAAATATAATTTTCTGATTATCTATAACAAGCATTGTATCAAGAAAACTAATCTGCCACCTGTACTTCCAAAGTAAACTACAATCTCAATGTAAAGAAAAAAAATTAAATATATTTAAAATAAAATTAAATATATTTAAAGCGTCATTGATAGTATCAGATGGAAGTGCAAGAATGACATCATCAACATATCTAAAATAAAACAATGGTTGTACTGACAATTTTTTGATTGCTATTTCTTCTAGATCTTACATTACAATGTCGGCGATTATCAATCTCTATCAATTAAACCAACGATTGTTTCCACTTTTTGACATAAAGAATGTCTAAATAAATAATTTAGGTAACGACCAGAAAAAGTAGGTTTAGAGTACCAATTCTGAATATGAGAATTTCCTTTTTTAATTGAGTCGACATTAAGAAAATCTAACTTGTCCCCGCCTATTTCAGTTGTAAATTTTAATCTGGAATGGAATGAATTAAAAGTGTTCACCAGTGTATCAATGTATGACACATCATATGCTAATACAATGTCATTAACATACCTCACATAAAAGAATGGTGAAATTGAGAATCTCTGTAATGCTTTCATTTCAAGATCTTGCATAATAATATCACATAATGGAAGATAATGGTGAACTCATCGGAACATCAAAAATCTGTTTATAAAATTTGTCATTGAAACTAAAAATTGTTGAATTAAGAACTAATTCCAACGCTTTAATTCCCTTTTGGGAATATTTTTCTTTCAATGAGATGCTGTTTATAACAAATTCTGTTTATAACAAATTGAATCGTTTCTAAGCTTGTTGCGCCTCTTACATATGGTCTTCCGAAAATACAAAGTTGATTATCCACTTCGTATCATAGTTTCTTCAGTGGGAAGCCCTCTATAATCTAGTCTTTTTTTTTATATCATACGAAATTATATCAGTAGCAAACAATTTTATCAAGAACAGTTCTCATTTGACTAAACACTTTCTAATTTGACAATCTCTGACAACGAAGTTCTTTTATCCCTTGACGTGGTTTCGTTATTCACAAATGTACCTATTAACTTGGTTTTTGAAGGCATAGAGAGGAGATGGCATCTCATTGAGAGAAAAACATTCCCAAAAGGGAATTTTTTAAAGCGTTGGAATTAGTTCTTAATTCAACAATTTTTAGTTTCAATGACAAATTTTATAAATAGACTTTTGGTTCCGATGGGTTTACTATTATCACCCATTGTGTCGGATATTGCTATGCAAGATCTTGAAATGAAAGCATTACAGAGACTTTCACCATTTTTTTATGTGACGTATGTTGATGACATTGCATTAGCATATGATACATCACACATTGATACATTGGTGAACACTTTTAATTCATTCCATTCCAGATTAAAATTTACAACTGAAATAGGCGAGAACAAGTTAGATTTTCTTAATGTCAGCTTAATTAAAAAAAGAAATTCTCAGAATTGGTACCACAAACCTACTTTTTCTAGTCATTATCTAAATTATTTTTTTAGACATCCTTTATCCTCAAAAAGTGGGAACAATTGTTGGTTTAATTGATAAAGTTCTTTCTTTGTTCCATTCTATTTACCATCAAGAGAATTTCGAATTATTATAATAATATTATAAAAATTCTGTTAAACAATAGAAATCCATTGAAACTCATATTCTCTGAAATCAAAAATAGATTGTCAACAAAATTTAAACAATGAAATGACCAGGGTAATACACCTACAGATAAGACAACGGACAATAATGAAGATAAAATTAATCACAAGATTTTTACAATCTCCTTTATACCACTTTTATCAAAAAAGATCAAAAAATTTTTTGAAAAAGACTCCTTAGCATACATGGCATATAAAAGAATTAATAATCTTAGGGGATTCATCAGGAATCATAAAGTTCGTCCCAAGCTATCTCACACAAACGTATATAAAATTGATATAAAATTGATACAGAATTGTATATAAAATTGATTGTTGAGATTGTGAAGAGTCATATGTGGGCTGAACAAGTAGATGCTTAAAGACACGCATAAATAAACATAGAAATCACATAAATTGGAACACAGTTTCCGTAATAATAGAACATAGAATTAGTTATCAACATAATTTTGATTAGGAAAATGTCAAAATATTAGATGAGGAAAAGGTATTTAATAAAAGATTGATTTCGGAAGCAATCCATATAAAGCAACAGAAATAGAATTTAAATTTACAGAATGATACTCTTTAGAACTATATATGAATTTGTTTACGGAATTGTGACGTTGGTTTTACCCTTTTGTTCTTTTTTTTTATTTTTATTTCAATAACTACGTGATTTTATTATTTTGACTCTCATTTTATCTCTGACTGTCAACACCGCAAGACCTTTACGTCGAGTCGCGAGAAGAATGCTTATATGTAAGTTCATATAATTAAAATTCAGACAAATGATTTTAATATAATAATTCTTTAATTTTTCGTTTTCTTTTGAATGCCACACAGCAAATCTGACAATCTAATGAGCGATGCGATTCTACTTAGTTCTACGCAATGTATATGACTTTTTGGTTTTACTTTATGTAAGTTTTTATATTATTATTGTATAAGTTAATATTTTTGATAATCTTTGGACTATTCATTACATAGCTAATTTGAGATTTGGATGAAAAAAAACAAACTAAATTGTTGGGAATCATCAACTTGGAATTTGCGTTACTTATGCAATTTCGATTTAATATTGATAAGAATCCGAATTGAAGGGTCGAAACGTTTATTTTATTCGTTTTGTTACATTTCACATGAAAATAAAGAATTTTCTGTGTATCCGAACAGCTGATGTAGGCTGATGAACTTTTTTACATTTTTCACTGATATTTTAAAGAAATAATTAATGTGAAATAAACATTTACTAAACGTTAAATAAATGTGAAATAATTGTTTCTTATCACCACATTTTAAATGAATAAATAATGTAAAATAAACATTTTATTAAAGTTAAACAAACATTTAAAAGATATATCTTTAACCTTTATTTCAAATGAATAATTAATTTATATAAACATTTAATAAACGTTAAATAAACGTTTAAAATTGTTTAATCATTTATTTCAAATAAAAAATTATAATGTAAAATAATGTTTAATAAACATTAAATAAATGTTAAATTAATGAATTTTGAATAAAAAATTGTGAAAAATGTAAAATTATTGAGAAATAAACGTTTAAAAAGCATTTAAAAAACATTGTTTGCTGATTGGGGCGAGATCCCAGGTTCAAAACTCGATAAGTGAAAAAGATGGAAATATAATTAAAAATTAGAATTAATTAATATAATTAATTAGTTGTCTGGGTGTAGGCACTGTTAATAAAAATAAATAAAAAAAAAGATTCTACGTTGTTATTTTTTCCAATTCTATTAATAATTTTAACATTAAAAAATAATTTTAACATTAAAAAAATATTTCTAAAAACATTTTTAAAAACGTTAAAAATAATAGAATAGTTCCTTTTTTTTACATTAAAAAAACGTTTATTTGAACGTTAAAAAGAATGTTTTTCAAACGTCATAAAAACGTTTTATAGACATTTTCTTCAAATCTTTTTAAAATATTTTTATAATATTTAAAAATCATTATTTTTAACATTTAAATAAACATAATAATTTTTTTAATGAAAAAAGAGGGAATTATTCCATTATTTTAAATGTTCTTAAAAATGTTTTTAGAAACGTTTTTCAAATATTTTTAAAAAAGTTTTTGTTACTTGGATTGTAAAATTTATAGCTTATAATGACTCATCTTTTATCAATACTGCAGTAATAAACAGTGTCAAGCGTTGAAGATCAAGCATCATGAGCTTACTATTTACTAAAAATAAATCACATGATCAAAATTGACATGTAGCATGCTCTCGATGCTCGACGGTAGAAGCACCTTTATAGAAGTACTTTTAGTATCTGCGTTTGCAACATGCTGTTAAACTCATATCACATTATATGTTGAAAATTGAGAATTACAATAAATTAGAGATTAAAATTCGACTATTCAGATAATTTTAATTATAACTCATTTTGTTTTATTTTAAATTTTAATCTTCAATTCATAATCCTTAATCTTCAATTATGGATATATAGATATAGACTAGAGATTAAGGATTACGAATTAAAGTTTAAAATCGAAACAAAGTAAATTATAATTAAAATTACCTGACTAGTATAACACTGGGCTTTAACATCACTGCTTGTGATATGCGCACAATTATGTTTCCCATAAAAATAAAAAAAACAATAAAAAAAATCAATATAAAGTCATTCTTAGATCATCTGAGATTTTTGTCATGACCAAAAAATAAATTTGGTCAATATGACATCAAATTGACATTATTTTGATTTTCTTATTCTCCTTGGGTAGTGAGAAATGACAATAAAATTGATGTCGATTCGACGTCGATCTGATTTCGACCTTGAATCGACATCGATTTAATGTAGATTTCATTATCATTTCTCACTGGGTATATTCCATCGAGCTACACAAAATTATTTTATTAAAAATTAGAAAAGAATTTTCTGAAGAAAAATGTATCATAATGCATAATATATACTATATAATTAATATGTCTGTATAATTAACGTCAAAGCGGAATATGTCATTTATAAGTATTTTCTTATCATTATATATGACAAAGAAATACTTATAAATTCTATATGAATACAAATATATAATTGAATGTTATATGGTTAATATAATCAAATATTTTAAAAAATATTTTAACAATAAAAGTATTGTAAATAAATATCAGGTCAACTACATTTCTAAAATTGAAGTTTCATTAATTTATCAACAGAAGCACTATGGCTTTAAAAGGAATCAAGGTCGTAGAGTTAGCTGGACTTGCTCCGGGACCCTTCTGCGGCATGATTTTGGCAGAATTTGGGGCATCTGTTATCAGAGTGGATAAGGTAATTAGAAGTAAATTTTATAATAAATTTAATAATAAATTTTATAATAAAATATTCTATAAAAATTTATATATTTAAAATATAAATAATAGAAAGCATACAGCCACAGCACTACATGTTTTAAACGAAAGTCATATTTAAAATTATATTATGATAAAGTAAACGATTCGGTCAAAATTTGACTATCATCGGTACATTAAAATATACAGATGTTGCATAAATTAAAGAATATTGACAATAAAAACTAATCAAGAATTAATGGTGAAACAATTTTACATTCGCTTATAAAACGAGTTAACAGAGTAAGTCCAGAATTGAAGATGACGATTTTGCAATCGCTTATGAAACAGATTTCTATTGCATTATGAATTCCTTATTACTACAAGCTGTGTGAGACGTACAGAATTCCCAGATTATAATTAAAATTAAAAAAGAAAATCATTTTTTAAATATTACTTTACAATATATTGTTATTATTAAGAATCGATTAAGTTTAATAGTCAGAATCGCTCAGCACATATTTTGTGACATAAGTCATCGCAAGTGTAATTCGGAGTTAATTGTGTAAATTAACGATAAGTCTTGGAAAACCTTTGATAAGAATCATTACTAACAAAAATGTGATGGCACGTAGCTAGCGACAGTCTTTATACATTGTGTAAGGAAAAGAATGGGAAGAAAAGTAGAAGGGGATATTTTATTGGTGAGAGTAGAAGGGCTTTTTTCAATGGTTAATAGATAGATTTCAGGAAAGCGTTCTGTATCACTCTGTTTATTTAAACTCATTTTTTATCTTTTAATATGTATCATCTCGGAGACCATTCTTTTATGATAAGATTGTTCGGAATCAAGAATGATAGTATTTTCCATTCAATAGTATGATTAAGATCTAGTTTGTGATGAGAGATAACAAACAAAGTATTAGATGATTTATTAAAATCATTTTTATGTTCTTTTAAATGTTCTTTTAAATCAGTTTCCTTTTTGTCTATGAATAGTTGCAATCGAGACAGTTTCTTTTATACACAACAACAACATTTGAGTGATCTTCTTTTTTAATTTTATCTTTGCCTGTTTTAATAAGGATATTTAAACAATTCGTCGGTTTGCTAGCAATATTGAAGTAAAATTTTTGTGTTGATGGATTTAAATTTTTCTGAAATTTTGTTAAAGTACAGAAATATTTTTTAGGATTTCAATGGAAGAATCCGAGCTGATCCTATCTTTATGCTCCTGGATATTTTTGAAATTATTTTTAAAAGACAACGCTTTAATCCTGTTATTGATAATTGAGAATAAGAATTCTAATGGGTATCCATTTTCTTGAAGTTAAGTTTAGTATTAATTAAAGAAGTAATATCTTCCTCGTAAAATTTAAGATGGGAAAGGAAGATTCTATCTATTTGTCCGATTATTACACCTTTTTTGTGTTTTCAAGGATGATTTGAATAAAAATTCAAATATCTACGAGAATTAGTAGGCTTCTTATAATTGTTAAAATTAATCCCTCCTCTATTAATAGTCTTACATCGAGAAAATTTATTCCTCTATCATCGCTATATTCGACAGTAAATTTAATTTTTTTATGGTATAAATTAAAGGAACATAGAATTGTATTAATTTGATCATTTGGTGCTGCCGTCAACATAGCGATAATAGAATGGAATACATGTAGTTAAAGATGTTAAATTCCAAGTCTTGTATTACAACATCAGCTAAAATTGGAGAGAGAAGAGATTCCTCTTTCTCCAACTATCAACAACAGGATTAAAGCGTTGTCTTCTAAAAATAATTTCATAAATATCAAGGAACATAAAGATAGGGTCAGCTCGGATTCCACTAAAATTACTAAAAAATATTTCACCATTCCATACTTTAACAAAAATTCAAAAAAATTTAAATCCATCACACAAAAATTTTACTTCAATATCGCTCACAAACTGACAAATTATTTGAATACCTTTATTAAAGGTAAAGATAAAATTAAAAAAGAAGATCACTCAAATGTTGTGTATAAAATAAACTGTCTCGATTGCAACTATTCATATGTAGGACAGACGAAAAAGAAACTGAAGACGCGTTTAAAAGAACATAAAAATGATTTTAATAAATCATTTAATACTTTAATGATTTTTATTAATACTTTAATCATTTGATACTTTTTTTTGTCTGTTATCTCTCAATACAAACTAGATCATAATCACACGATTGAATGGGAAAATACTGTCATTCTTGATTCCAAACAATCTTATCATAAAAGGATGGTTTCCGAGATGATACATATTAAAAGACAAAAAATGGTTTAAATAAATAGAATGATACAGAACGCTTTCCTGAAATCTATCTATTAATCATTAAAGAAAGCCTTTCTACTCTCACCAATACCCTTTTATTTTTCTTCCCTCTCCTTTCCTTGCATAATGTATAAAGATAGTCGCTAGCTACGTGCCATCACATTTTTGTCAGCAATGATTCTTATCAAAAGTTTTTCAAGACTTGTCGTTAATTTACATAACTCCGAATTATATAATACTTGCGATGATTTGTGTCACAAAATATGTGCTAAGCGATTCTGACTATTAAACTTACTTCTTAATAATAATAATATATAAAGTAATATTTAAAAAATGATTTTCACGCGCGCGTGTGCGTGTGCGTGTGCGTGTGCGTGTGTATATATAAATATAAATACACTGCTAAAAAAAATACGGCATAGAAAAATTGTGGGCAAAAATTGATCAATTTTGATTAAAGAAAACTTTGTTAAAAATTATCGTAGGATAATTTTTCTTTTCTTTTAAATTAAAGCTTGAAATCTTTATTTTAAGACTATGGCCCAATTTTAAGTTTGCACCCCTGCTGCTGCTAACTTCCAAAAATATGAAAGTGTGTTTGTCTTATTGAAAATTGCAAAGTTGACGGAATGCACGAACTTTGTAAAATTTTTTGGGGGAATGTCGTTTGCAGTGGCATAAAGTTCGAACTTTCCCCTGTAATTAAAAAACCGAGTCGCTGCGATTCTTTTTCGCGAAGATACAGCACTTTATCCTTGCATTTTTGAAATATAGGGGAGACTGAAGAGAGTAGACTCATTTTTCAGTTTCGAATTTTTGCAGACGAAATTAAGAAACTTATCGAAAAAATGCATTCTACACCAGTTACTACATACATTTGACTATCTAATAATATTTTAATAATAAGAGAAAACTGATAACTAGTATGAAAAAAAATACATTTTTATAATGCATTCCATCTGATTGAACTAGTCCCGGGGTAAAGTGACTAATGGTAAAATGAGGTAATTTGATTAATATTATTAAAATGAAGGTTAATATATATTTAATCTTTATATATCAATAAAGCTTTCATAAAAATGTATTTTAAACATAAACGTGTTTATAAAACTTTTATAAAAATGCATTTTAAACACAAACATATTTATAAAATAAAAAAAAGTATAACTTTGTACCTTGTTATTAGATAAATAACAATTTATCTAATCCAAATCGTTATCCGAATTATAGTTATAAACACAATAAGTTACCCTTTATTTAGAATGTGTCTATACATGTTCACAAAATTATCTTTTTAATTATTCTTAAGGCTCTTGTCGCGGCGATCATATTGAAATCGTGATGTCAGAAGCGAAGAATGACACGTTAATTTATATTGCGTGCCAGTTTTAAATAAAAACAATTTGGATGAAACGAAACGACGAGATCACTTTAAAACATTTGTAAAAATCAATGAAAACTGTCCTTTCCTCCCTTGACAGTAAATGATAAAAGGCACGTAAAGTGAGCTTATATTTGGGCAGAAACACATAGTTCGACAGCTGTTGAAACGAGTAAAATATACGCTTTTACATATAAAATTCCAAAATAACTTTAGTTTTCATCGATAATTACGATTTTGATAAGTACGAGACAAATCACATTTTCACAATTAAGCAAATAATAACGAAATGGAACGCAACATAAATTTTGTCGTCAAAACGTCACTTTTCTACGCCTATAAGTACGGCCATTTATCGTGATGCGGCGTTGTATATACAAACAAGCACGAGCCCATATCCATGCTCGCCTGCGGCGCGCCAAGAGTGAACGAGACAGCGAGCTCCTTCTGCCACTATTAGCTTGTTTCAAGCAATTGAAAATGCTTTCTCGACAATCTCAGCCGTTCGGCGGCCTTAAGCATCAATAAGGGGCGAGGGACATCCTAAATAACATATAAGTTTTAATAAATTAATAAATTGTAGTAATAATGTATCCCTCCCCTTAATCCAGAATAGTATAAATCATGTTAAAACGCAACAGTTTACGAGATATTTAATTGTTTACGATTTTTCATACGCGTTATATAATATACCTCTTCTTCATAAACTCGTAGCAAGAACAGTTTAGTAGAAGTAGAATTTTATGGAAAAAAATTATAAACCAGCATTTCTTTTCAAAAAAGAAAATCTCGAAAGACCATCAGAAAAGAAATGCGTATGTTCGAGATTCGAGACTTGTGAAGAAAATATGCGAAAAAAAATCGAATAGTTGTAAAAAGTATGTTTTTTGCTTATAAAACGAAAGATATTGATTGTATGAAAAAAAATTCGGTATAAAAAATGTAGGTATTCGAAATATTATTACCTACAAAATGAGACATGGAATATTAAAATTGATCTATTAGTTCAGTAGAAAAAAAATGAAAAAACACCGAAAAAGCCTTTTTTTCACTCGCTCTTAAATATTTTATTTTGATAACTGAATATTTTATTTTTTTTTAAACACATTTTTTATCAACCCTGCTTCCTTCACTCCGTCCGGCGCACTGCCTCGCTCGCATTTTTCAACTTTCCAATAGTTTTAAATAAACTTTTTCGGCAGCAAAAAATTCGAAAATTTTTCAACAACAGCAAAAATTCAATTCTTTTTTGACGAATTGGTAGACCGAACTCTTAATCTTAAAAACTAGAGCCACAGATTTTTTGAAAAAAAATTATTATTTCGGCTCCTGATAATCGGAGGGTAATCTTTTTTTTTAAATTTGTAGAAAAATGTCAGATTTCGAATGGTTTACACGGCTATTTGATATGATGACATATTAACGAAATTATTTCCATTTTTTTATATGGAAATAGATATCCATTTTTTTAAATCGTTTTATAATAGTTTAACTGCAAAAAAATCGTTTTATTAAGCGAACGTGATGGTGCAACTCTTGAAGAAGC